TTCCAAATATTAATTATTTTGGCAAATTAAATTTGTTTTAAAATATCTGACGATTTAAAAGTCCAAGAGATCTCTATTACCTAATTGAGACGTTTAGCGTGAGATAATATGACGGTTTAGAGAATTATTTTTATGATTAAAGCAATTAAACATTTTTCTTACGAGGTCAGTATAAAAACTTTATAAGACAGATAATATAGATAAAAGAAAATAGTTTGTCGTTTACGTAAATGTGTCTTCAATTTCCTTTTACCTTTTACATCTCCATCTCCACTTTGGTAATGCTGACATTGGACTTCTAATAAAATTTAATGTATTTGCCTAATACTAATATGAACAATTAATCCAAATAGCAGCTCAGCTAATCTCTTAAACTAAAATAAAAAATCATCAAATGTATAATTCATGTATAATATATATATATATATATATATATAATTGTATATAATTAATATATAATTTATATATATCGACTAAAAAAAATAAATATTGAACCTGATCAACTATTTGTGTAATGATCCCTACTAATATATGGGACCTTCACATATCTTTAGTGGCCCTTAAACGTACGTGCGTTGGGTGGTGAAATTAGATGCTTTAATTCAACATATGTGCCCAACACTAAAGTATGGGACCTTCACCTCTCTCCCTTTTGTGGCCCTAATTAAGCTATTGCTTACAACAACAACAACAACAATAACAATAACTCAGTATAATTTTATTAATGGAGTCTGGGGAGGGTAGTGTGTACGCAGACCTTACCCCTACCATGAGTAGAGAGGTTGTTTCCAAATAGACCCTCGACATCCTTCCCACCAAGAACTCCCCACCTTGCTCTTGGGGTGACTCGAACTCACAACCTCTTGGTTGAAAGTGGGAATTGCTTATCATCGGAGCAATAATTAAGCTATTACTTGTGTTTGGAAAAGTGAGATCTGAATCCGATGCACATTCAACATTTTAAGTAGGTGTTTGGATAGAAAAAATATGAGATTTGGGGGGNCACTTGAAAAAATATTGCAGCTTTATGAGAACAAAATATTTTGTGTGCTATTGCACAGTGAACAAGGTTACCCAGTGCGCACTCGAGGGTAGCCGCTACAGATTTCTTTGGAAATTTCCCAAAATAAATTAGTTGAAAAGGAGGTAAAAATAGCTTTTTCAAATCTAAAACTTAAACTTTTTGAAACTCATCTTCAAAATTCAATGAAATGTAAACAACAACAACAATAACGATCCAGTATAGTCCCACAAGTGGGGTCTGGGGAGGATAGTGTGTACGCAGACCTTACCTCTACCACGATAGGGTAGAGAGCCTGTTTCCGATAGACCCTCGACTTAAGAAGGTGAAAAGACGAAAAGAGGCACTATATCAGTACCATCAATAAAACCATGGAAATAATAACATCACAAGAACTAGTAAATAAATGAAAATCAGAAATAATAACCATTAAATAAAGCCCGACACTATGAAAGCGGAAGAGTAGTGTAAATATAACACTGACCACTAGCATTCTAAGACAAAATCCTATCAGTCTAGCCTCGCACTGGTAAACTAAATGAACTCAACTACCTCCTAACCTACAACCTTAATGCTCGACCTCCACAACTTCCTATCGAGTGTCATGTCCTCGGAGATCTGAAGCCTTGCCATATCCCGCCTGATCACCTCACCCCAATACTTCTTAGGCTGCCCACTACCTCTCCTCATACCCACCAACGCCAACTGCTCGCACCTCCTTACCGGGGCATCCAAGCTCCTCCTTTGTACGTGCCCGAACCATCTGAACCTCGCTTCCCGCATCTTGTCATCCATATGAGTCACGCCCACCTTCTCCCGAATATCTTTATTCCTAATCTTATCCATTCTACTGTGCCCGCACATCCACCTCAACATCCTCATTTCTGCTACTGTCATCTTCTAGGTATGTGAGTTCTTAACTGGCCAACATTCAGTCCCATACAATATGGTCGGCATAACCATCGCTCTATAAAACTTACCTTTGAGTAACGGATCGGAGGCACTTTTTTGTCACACAGGACTCCAGATGCTAACCTCCATTTCATCCATCTCACCCATATATGGTGTGTGACATCCTCGTCGATCTACCATCCCCCTGGATAATTGACCCAAGGTACTTGAAACTGCCTCTCTTGGCAATAACCTGCAATCCAAGCCTCACGTCCATGCACGCTTCCCTCGGCTGGGCGCTGAACTTGCACTTAAGATACTACGTCTTCGTCCTGCTCAACTTGAAACCCTTAGACTCAAAGACCTGTCTCCAAACCTCTAGCCTTTTGTTAATGTCACTCAGCGTTTCGTCAATCAGAACAATGTCATCAGTGAATAACATACACCATGACACTTCTCCTTGAACATGGTGTGTCAACGAAACGTATAACCAATAATTTTTTTGAAGATGAATTTCGAGAAGAATTTTTTTTTTCCCTGAAAAAACGAGTTCTAAGTTAATAGATGCGAAATGTCTCATACTTCACTCTTTTGTGGTAATGAATGATTTTTGTGTATATATTATGCCCAATATATACTAGTTATTGATTCAAATATCTATAGTAACTTTGATTAAGGTTGTAGCTATCATGCAATTTTATGGGTTCACGTGAACTTTTGTCCAAAATTTTATATACTTATTTTTAAGAAATGCATAAATATTTGTAAATATGTGACTATAAACTCAATTATTATTATTGTATAGTAATTAGAGCTTATTATAAGAAATCATAAACTTCAACTTTTGAATCAGCTTATGAACATAATAAGGTTAAACTTATCATTATGCATCACTTAAGGAAACGAAGAATTTTAGTTTCACACACATTTCAAGTTTTGAGAAGAATTACGATAAATTAATGGGCAATTTTTGAAACTATTTTCACTCTTCAATTAATTATTTGAAAAATTAAAAGAATGTAGTTTCAAAAGGGACAAGAAAAAAAGAAACTTATTCTAAAAAGAGGTGAATCTTGGATGATTTTTACCTTTTTGGGTGGGTCATATTAGAGGAACCCTACAATAATTAAGAAAGCTAATCTCCCAAAAATGCATGCTTAGCACTTTATCTTCTCCAAACAAATGACAATCAATAAGACAAGACTTTTATTTTATCTAATTATTGAAATTAATCACCGAGTGAAATCCACTAAAACAAGAATGCCTTTCTAGTTTAGCTTCCTTCCATTTGCTTAAAAATGCTGATATTGTACATGTTATTTATTGGAGTTTAACTTCTATATATACTCTTAGCAATATAAATAATAATTACACTGAGAGGTCACTTTAAATCCTTTATAGGTAAATTTTTATAATAACCATAGTCCATAGATATGTAACCTAAAAAACGTGATAAATAACATACATTACAACAAGTAAAACTATATAAATACTAGTACAATAATTATTTACATTTTTATTGTATATTCACATATATTTTTGTGATTCCAACAAACCACTTGGCTCGCAATATCATCAGTCCATTTTACTAATTCGTTAATGACAAGACATAAATTCGATGATTTGAGTTATCTTTTGTCAGGCAACAATCAATTCAATCAAAACTGTAACATGGTTTTTTCCAGCCTTTCATAAACTCCTTTTTTTTTCTCCTTTCAAATATTGGAGGACCCAAAATAAAGGTGGCAGACAATTGCTCCCGTTTTGCCATGGATTTTGTCTTATTTTTTACAAAAAAAAAAATTAAAAATATTGTTTGTTTATTAAATATGATCATATTTTGGGGGAAAAAATTCAAACTTTCCAAGTTCCCAAAAACTGGTTTAGGACAGTTTTTGGGTGAAATTTTTCAAAAAAAATAATTAAAAAAATTATTTCTTTATGAAATATGATCATGTTTTGGGAAAAAAATTTAGTAATTTCCAATTTCCCAAAAATTAATTTAGGGCAGTTTTTGGGTGAACTTTTTTCTTCCACTTACAAAATTTTAACTTTTTTTCAAATAAAATACATGTTGAAATACAACTTCAATTTTTAAAATTATTTTTTAACATACAGCTTCAGAAACTTTTTTTTAAAGTTTCAATCAAATATATGTTCAAACGCTAGCAAAGTGTCTGAAACTGAACTATGCATCACAGTAGAAAAAAAACAAAGGATACACCTCTAGTCTTGAATAAACTTGAGCCCAACTTGACTATTTCAGCAGCTACTTGTTATTTTCAATTGACATAGGACTTAGGAGCGAGTACTTTTGTCCGTCAAAATTTTGGTAGATATATAAAAAAGAAATCACCTAATATTTTGTTTTTGTTGGAAAAGAGATCTAGAGTATACTCAAATTCTTCTCCCATTCTTGTAACAATGAAAAGTTGAAATTAAACATGAATTATAAACATTTATTTTTCTTCTTCTTCTTTTTTATTTTTTATTTTGTTTTGGTGGGGGTCTAGTGAAGAAAAAGATCATGGTACACACCCTTGCTAAAACTATACTTGAAAGTTAAAAGCTAATATCCCACTAAAGAAAAGGCTTATGAGAATCCAAAGATAAACAGGTCTATGCCCCCCATAATGTTTACACCAACTTCTGGATTTCAAAGCATGAAAGAAGGATAAAAAGCTTATTTCATTCTACCCCACTCTTTCAATCCCTCCTCTATTTATTAAAGCACAAATAGGCATCATCAAGTGGTTGCCCTTTAAAAAAAATTGGAAAATGGCAAAATAAGCATAAAATAAACAAAAGGAGGAAAAGAATATTTATAATGTACTTTCACATAGTCTAAATTCTATGAATATGTTTTAGACTTGTTAGAAAATTGCTACTACTAATTAATATTTTATTATTAATTACATCTTTATAAGCTAATTACAGGTAAATTTCTATAATTATTTATTAGTTTTAACATATAAAATTAATAACTAACATGTTATCATAAATCGTACTGATAATTTTATATCGTCAGTGTATATAATGACTGATTCTATTCTACCTTCATAGCTCAATGCATTACTATATAAAAAGTCACCCTATCAAGCCATTACTCTCAATAATTTTGAAAGCAAACCCCTCCCTCATGTCCCTTCTACAACAACCCTAAAACCCCTCCTGCTTTCTCTTCACAACCACACAAATTGATCTCTCATTTCAACATCCTACATATATACTTACTTCTTTCTGCCTTAAACACATTACGCTCCAATCTTTTCTATCTTCAACTTCTTAGTTTCCTTTGATATATATACCTTTTCAAGTCATGTCCATCACTGGAATACATCCTGAAACTACTGAAAAAATGTCCAAGAAAATTATCCAATGGAGAAATAATGATTCAGGAGAAATTGATGTGTTTGAGGCAGCAAAATATTTCTCAGGTGCAAATGAAGAATATTATTCTGGTTATAATTGCAACAATGGCCAAAGTTTTCACAACAACAACAACAAGCAAAATTTGAGAGGTGGAAGAATGAGTTTTGACATGCCAATGATGAGAAATTCATCACTTCTTCCTACACAAACAAATACTACAACTACTACTTATATTATGGAAAAACCAATGATCAAAAATAAAGATCAAAAGAAATACAAGCAACCAAGTTCTCCAGGTGGTAGACTTGCTAGTTTCTTGAATTCTCTCTTCAACCAAACATCATCCAAGAAAAAGAAATCATCAAAATCTTCAGCTCAATCTTTGAAAGATGAAGATGAAAGCCCAAGTGGAAGAAGGAAAAGAAGAAGTAGTATAAGCCATTTTAGCTTTAGAAGCTCAAGTATTACTACTACTATTAGTACTAATACAAATACTACTACTAATAGTAGTGATTCAAAGTCCATTTACTCTTCATTAAATTCTGGTTTTAGAACTCCACCACCTTATACTCCAACTCCAACAAAATCATATAAAGATTTCAGAACCTTTTCAGATCAACAACAAGTAGTAAAGTATAAGCAAACTGCAGTTTTACAACATGAAGTATGTGGTGACAAGAAAAGCATGGATTATTCTTGGGATGAGAAGTTAAAGTTGAGCAAAAATAATGGTGAAAAGTATATTAAGAGCACAAATAGTGGATTATCATATGAGAAAAGCAAGACGTATAACAAGGTTGTTGATGTTGATGATAATGATGATGGTGCAGATAGTGATTCAAGTTCTGATTTGTTTGATTTACCAAATATTGACTTGGATTTCTATTCATCAAGTGGTTTGCCAGTTTATGAGACTACACATATGGATAACATCAAGAGGGGTGCACCAATTTCTAGTGGCGCAATTTGAAGGGAAGACTTGCCACTACGGTAAAGGTTGTACGTGCATCAAGTTGTCGGTCACAGGTTTAAGCTGTGAAACAAATCTCTTGCGGAAGTATAAAATCAGACTGCGTACAATAGATTGAACATGGTCCGACGTCTTATTCCCGAACTTTGCGCATAACAAAACCTTAGCATTTTTTATTTTTTTTTTGCCTTTTATTCGTTTCCATTTCCTTCACAAAATATTCATATTGAGTTTTTTTTTTTTTTTTTGGTGGTTGATGAAAAAGGAAGTCTTGATTTTCTTTGTCAGGATATGGGCATAGATCTGCCTTTATTTCTTTTTTGTGCTCCTTTAGAAGTTTTTGCAAAGCTTTTTACTGTATGTACAGTATGGAATGTCTTGTTTGCCTTGACTTTTAGTGATTTACTTTTATAGCTATGATATGATATGGGAATGGACTCTGGAGTGTAAGCACATCATATGTCCACCACTATAACAGCTTTGATATCATTATGCATGATTATTGAATATATATTAGGGATTTTTCAATCTCATGATGGAAAATCCAACCATAGTCATAATAACATTATGGAATATATATCATATTATCTTTGACTTTAGTGATAAGCATTACCAGATGTAACTTCTTATTCATATTATGAACAGAAGTCAGAAATTCCGTGAAGGGTATTCAAAATTTAATATATACATATAAAAAATATAATTTTTAACTTATATACATAATATAAGTTCTTATATATACCATATAATAGTTCCATGAAGATTGTTCGATTGATTACCCTTCAATGTGCGCCGATATCATCCGCGGTTTACTATAATAATTAAGTTACCAACCATCGCCGTTGTTGTGTATTAGATGATAAATATAGGATGAAATCACTTATAAGATATTTAAGGTAAATATCTATGATAATATTAGTTAGTAACATTAAAAACAATAACCATATACCATATTTGTAATTGAGTTAACCTACATAGATCATATAAAAATTTATACATATAATTTAAATCCTTAAGTATAAATCAGACGAGCTTAATTAACTGGCAATAATTTTCTCTTATTGGGATTAGTACAGTAGATTTAGCATTTGATCATATTTTGCATGCAATATTTAGTTTCTCATTCTTGATTAAGTTCATTTCTTCTGTCGAAAGGATACAATCTAGGTAGACAAAATTGGGAGGTGGCCGAGATAAATTAAAACGGTTTTGAATTTATAATTTCCACAATATTAATGTGATCAGTTATAGCAAGTTAATTTATTATTACTCGAATTTCAATTTATCATATTATTCTGATGGCGCAAAAAAAGTATAAACTAATATTACTGTAAAAAAAAAAGTCTGGGAAGTTTTCTTCTAAGACCCGTGTAAGCCAGGGAAAGCGTTGAAGGGTTAGTAGGAGGACCGTCGTTTTGGGTTTGCTTGACAGGACCGTGGCTTGACAGGGCTGGTGTAAAAAGTTTCCTGTAACATAACCGATGGTCCTTGTATGACCCGTGTTAGCTAGGGAGGGCGTTGAAGGGTTAGTAGGAGGACCGTAATTTTGGGTTTGCTTGATAGGACTGTGGCTTGACAGGGCTAGTGTCTCTGTAAAAAGTTCCCTGTAAAAAAAAAGTTTGGTGCACTAAGCTCCCTCTATGTGCAGGATCCAAAGAAGAGACGGGCTACAAGGGTCTAATGTATGCAACCCTACCCTGCATTTTTGAAAGAGTTATTTCCACGACTCAAACTTCGTGGCCTCCTGGTCACGTGGCAACAACTTTACTTGCTCCACAATATCTTAGATTCAATTAAAAAGATGGGTGTGTGTACGGCAAAAGCATATCTTTACAGCACTATATATAATGATAAATGAGGCTTCTATGTTAAATCAATGATAATTAAAGTATGTTAGATGTAATACCACACCACTTTGTCTAATCAAAGACACAAAGCACTATAAAAATCATGCAAATCTATTCCAAAATTCGAGTTAGGAACACATTAATAAAGACAAAGAATCTAGGCCCAACCTTTATTTATTTATGCATGAAAATGACCTAGAATCTAAAGCATGCTACATAATATAAATCTAAAGAATAAGAATGACAATTAAACATAACAAATCAAATTAGAGAAGGGCGATTTATGTTCTTGCGATTATTATAAAGGTCAAAAAGGGTCAAAAAACTAATGACTAATTAAATCTTGTTATGAAACAATAAAAGAAGAAGAGGAGTATTGGAGAGAAAAGTAGAGGAGAGAATTCTTATTGATTTTGGGATGAATTACAATGGAATAAAACCCTTTATTTATAGGGAGAGGGTGACTTAGCCACCAAGTAATGAACCCTAGAATCTCTATAAATATAGACATTCACCATAAATATAATTCTATTTATAACACTCCCCCTTGAATGTCTATTCAACAGATAATGTGTCTCGTTAAAACCTTAACTAAAATAAAACCCAATGGGAAAAAAATTCTAGAAAAGGAAAAAGAGTACACATGTTTAGAAATACGCCTTTTGGTTGCCTCGTTAAAAACCTTGTAAGGAAAAACCAATGGGACAAAACCTTGTAAGGAAAAAAGAGTTCAACGCGCATTAACTCCCCCTGAAGAGAGTATCAATTCACATCCTTGAACCTTCGCATCTCAATCTTGTACACCGTCTTCAAGAGATCGTTGGTAGAGATTTGATAAATAAATCAGCCATATTAACTTGAATGAATATTTTGCACCCTGAAATCATCATTCGTAATAGATATATAATGTCTTCATAAATATCGTGGAATGGCTCTTCAATATCTCTGCAGATGTATTCTTGCTATCACATTATCATGCTTATAGTTATAGTAAGATACATTTGTGCACAAATTGCACTAAGGAAGTGGTACTTCAAGATTAAGAATTGTATATGCTTCAAGTAACTTAAATCCTTCATGGATTGTCATATAAGTTAAGTCATATAAGCCATCTAAAGAGACTTTAGATGCATATCAAGTTTTCATGTCATGCTAGACATAGAAGATATCGAAAATTGATTGCACATATCATTGACTTTATACTTTCAAGTTTTTGAACTACAGGTCCAAACTATATGTCTTTCATATGGAATCAATTCTACTTGAATTGTGTCTCTTCCATTTGGCCAATACTTTTGTGTCTATATTCGATAGACTTAAGATCCTCATCTATACTTAGCGCTATGATAGATGTCGTCGACGAACATTTTATATTGGTTCCAATAATTTTTCATAAAGACATAACATAGAGATCTCTTCATTCATATATTCAGGTACCTAAATCTCTCATGAGATTTTATGAAGTGTTATGTCATGTGATCTTCTAGATCACTTGCCTCCTTTATTATGATCATTTGCTCATCTTCTTTATCAAGAAGTTTATTTGAAACTGATCTGTCTATACGCTTTAAGCGTACCATAGACTTTGTCCTTCTAGGACTTAATATGAGCATTTGCAATGAGAATATAGTTACTTTCTTTGGGTCAGCAAATGCGCATGGCATGCTTTGCAATATATTGCAAATGAATTATCTTTTTATGAACTTCAAGTTCATATTATCGCATTCGAGGATCTAGATATACAAATGATAATTCATTCCACGTAACTTTTTCTCAACTGTTTATCATATCTCCCCCTCATGTTAGAAAAACTAACTTGTTTCCTCAACTTTGAGAACCCATCTTTGTGTGTTATGGTGTTAATCAAAATGTACATCGTACATCAATAATAATAAGATGGAATTATTTGGTTCCTAACCCTGAACCACTTGTGAGGGGAGAATGTACTACACTTTCGTATATAACCTATATCAAACTGATATAGATAACTTTGTTCTCATAAGCAATAGTTTAGTTATTAAGTGGAGGCACTTAATAAATTATTTTGCTAAACCAACTGTGATGTAAACCAACTTATCAAGATGGACTTCTTGAATAGAAAATCTAGAAATTATGCTCGAAATTAAATTATTGAGCAAGTTACCTCGCAAACACCGGCCAGGTTGCGGGTTAATAATAATCGCACGTGTAACCATCTCATACATGCATCTTATGTGGTATACATGGCAGGTGAATGAGCACACATTCACCTTTGATATTTCCAGCATTCATGGGATTCAATCCCAATTTTAGTTGGTCAATTAATTAATGAGAACAAACAATATACGAAATTTCGTAAAGAACTTTCTAGTTCTTTAATATTTACTCATGTGAATTTCTATTATTTTTGCACATCATACTTAAATTGGTATGGCTAAACCAATTATGTCAACTGAATAAATTATCAATATTGATAAACTTCATATTTACACCATGATGTGTGCAATTATCAATAAACTCCAAGTTTATTATGATATGGGTTTTTATATCAATAAACTTCTACTTCATTATGGTATTCTTTTATTTGTGTAGTACAAACTGGAGAATAAAGCGGGTAACTTTTAACATACATATTACCCCGCTACAAGTTATAGTAATAGAAGATATTAAATCTTTCCTTTATTTATAGTCTCAAAATAATCAACCGCTTTTGCGTATACTTTGGAAACTGAATAAGTTTCTTTAAGACTTACTACAACACAATACCTTATTGTTAATCAATTGTGTTTATCCAAAATAGTATAATGGGCTCTTCTAGAGCTCTCAATTAATTTGGTACTACCACATATTCATCAACATCCATATGGTGAATATCTCTTTTAAAGAGAAAGTTATACCATTATAGTTATGGTCAAAATTATATGCAAAATATGTTTCTTGCATTAATGCTATTCTTTAATAATCACATTACCAAAATATTTTGGCGTGCAATAGGTACATAACCAATGACCATTCATGCCATAATAATGATATAATTTTTCTTATATCATCTCAAACCTCCTTCTAGAGGTGAGTGTGGTATATTCACTACCACTAGCACGTTCATATTCTTTCAAGAATGAATATGTATTCATAAATCAGACGTTGTCACATTTACATCATGAATGGACCATAATCATCTATATGTGCTTTATAAAATCTCATGTCAAATCGATGACAAATATTACTTTCACAAAGTGAAAGATTATTTTGAGAATCCTTATTATTCTCATTATCACAATGATGACGATTATAATTTCTTCTATTGCCATATCCACATCCATTGATACCTTCACGATAATAATTTTCTCTTCTTTCAGACTTATCACATACTGTTATCACATTCTCTTAAGGGAATGAGAATGGAGCAAATTCAATGGGACGGGTTTTAATTCTTTGCCCACAATCATACATGAATTTGATCATGGCAAGGCATAAAAACTTTACCACTTTGGGTGGTTATAATTTCTTTCAAACTCCATTAGACTTACAATCAAAATTTATCGTCTTCGTTTGTATTTAAAATTAAATTATAGAATAAAAGAGAAAAATACGGTAAAATACATACCTTAAATCTAGAATTTAATCACGAAGGAAATTCATGGAACAATTGACAATCATTAT